ATTTTAATGTTTTAATTAGGTAAGACAGAGCTCATTACCTTTATATACCCTTGGTTAGTTTAATCTATAAGAAAGCAACATTTTTAAAAGTTCAAGTTGTGTGAAAAAGCTGTAAAGTAACTACTAACTGTGAATCTTAGTTAAAGGCAGAATATTTGCTTCTGAATTGTGGTGGAGTATTAGTATAAAATCTGATAAAATGGAAACAATACAGAAAAGTATTATAAAATACAAAATAAATATTCAACATCAACATTTAATTTCATGTTAGTCTATGGTGTCAAATAACAGGAAAATTAGGTTGAACAAATGTGTTGAACTGTTGCTTAGTTTTATGTGATTTATACAGTATGTTTGGATTGTCACTTTTAAAGGTCTGGTGTGTAGGATTTAGTGCCATCTAGGGGTGAGGTTGCAAACTGCAACCAACCCTGAAACTTCTCCGTTGTGCCAAGCGTGTAGGAAAACTCCAGTGGCCGACACAAAACCGCAAATGGCCCTGTCTAGAGCCAGTTTTTGATTTGTCCGTTCAGGACTACTGTAGAAACAACATGGAGAACTGGAGGACCTGTCCTACTCTGCTTCTGATTGGCTAACCTTAACTATTACTCCAACCCTCACTCCTCATGCCTAAACCCAATGAACCCAACCCTCAGAAGGGCTTGAGCACTAACCAATCATAGGGAGAGCACCGGGGGGTCATGCAAGTTGTAAACACAACACTGACATATTATCATATATTTTTAAGTTGATATGGCAAAGTGGTTAGCAAACAGTTGCCAAGTCTAATATTCACTCTCTCTTTTTAGCAGTTTTTTGGCTCCACTCCCGAGGAATATATCTAACTGGCTGCTAAATACGAAATACTGCTAAATACTCCACTATGTTCAACTGGTAGTCATTAACTGTGTCTATCTGTTGCTTGGTGCTAATCAGGTAGTGTGCTTTTTTTTTTTTTTTTTTTACTATAAATGATGCAATGAGATGTGAGAGTAAATCGTAACATTACGGGCTGGGGAAAAAAAAACAGAACTGCAAAAGACAGAGCAAAACTACAGATTCAGGTGATGATTCTCTGTGGATTCTGCACTACAACGGACTTCTTTCACATTACACATAATAATTAGATTTATTTTTATGATGTAAATATTGAGTATAGGTACTTTAAAGTAGAACGTTTAGGACAAGACTGGGTAAATGTCCAAAGAGACTTCGAATGCTCCATGTAAAACCCAACCTCTGACAATTTTATCAAGTGCAGGACGGTGAAATATACTATCTTAAACTTGTGTGTATATCAACAGTAATCTGTAGGTTAAACTTGATGACTTCTCAAGCCTTCACTATAAACTACAGGGGGCAAACAGATCACATGGAGAAAAGACGCGAGCTAAAGCTCCATAGTGTGGACAACTAAAACCTGCGCACATGAACATGCTGGAAAAGCTCAATTTGCACTGAACAAGGAGCATATACAGTAGATAGCTCTTCTGCAGATTTGGCAGATGATGCATAATAATCTGATTTGTAACAACAGTCTGGTATGATGGGACCCTGATATATGATCCTAAGAGCTTCATTAATTGTCCTCTGCCTCATATGGTACAGCTTATGGGTTGTTTGTCTGGCCCTGCTTTTGAGAAGATTACATCTCCATAATCAATAAAACGAAACCATCCACCAGTCTGAACGAAAAAACATCTGGGAAAATAAACTTTCCCCCTCAAATAATGTACCCACAATAACACAGAAATCACAGCGTGTTCACTGAGCACAATTTCCGGGGGAAAACTTTTTCATGATTATGGTCGCCGGTAAGGACGTTGTGACATTGTCCAGATGTGTTGGTTGATGTTTAGTCCAAGTGTGGCTGCGGGAACCAAAATTCCACTGACATGGCTTCTATATCCAGTATTAAAATGACTGTAAGATCTGTAATGTGGCTGAAAAAATGTCTTTAAATTCAAAATATAAAGCTAACGACTATGTTGATTATATCTACAAAGGCATGTATCACATGGTCTCTATTTGTGTTTGGCTGGATCACCTGATAAGCACATTTCCCACAGTCAGAGTGCTGATTGCCTGGACGAGCTGAGCTGCGGCCTCTGGACTCATGGCTCTCATCACCCGCTGACCTGGAAAATGGGAGCGTAAGATCTGCAACATCACTTCAACCAGCAGACAACATGCTGCTTTGAAGTGGGAGTGGGCCTAAATTGGATTATGTAGCATCTCTGAGGAGCAGCTCCCGTAGATTTGATTACACATGACCCTTCACCCAACACCCTCACTGCTACTTTCCTGATTTCCCCGATGCAGATGAGACGAAGCGGGGCGGTCCTCCATGCCAGAGTCTGGTACTGCACTTCTTAATGTGTGCCCATCTGCCAGCCATTTACCTGATTACTTTGGGAAAGCTCAGACAGCTCGGGCTCTGCCAGGGCAGCTGGGAGGCTGGAGAATGGCATTAGTTTTGTACAGGTGGACACAGGAAAGATAAAGACCAGGTGACCCTTTTATCTGTCAAAACAAGCATCCAGATATCACCAAAATGGAGATAATTGACATCCGGCACACTGGAATATAACGTTGAATTATATATTTCTTTAGTGCTGAATTACACTTTTTTTGTAGCCACAAAAACTACTAATTTCACAGCTTAAACATACGAATCAAACTGGAGACATACATACAGAGGACAGGCTGTTCTCATCATCCACTCGCAGCCTAAAGTGCTGTTTAAAATAAAGTCCGAAGCACTGACTTCAAATCCTCCACGCAAGCATGGCACACAGACCACCTTCTATTTCTGAGGAAAATAACATCCAGCCCTGGTTTAACTTGGTCTCATTATGGTGGAAGTGGGTTCCAGGGCCAGGAAGTTTCATTGCTTTCCAAATAAATCTCACTAAACAGAGCTGTAATCCAAATTCCTCGTCTTGTGGAGTCCTCCCCGCGTCCTCATATTACAAGAAAGCTCTCAAAAGCTCACCGTATCCCTGTACATATCACTAGTTGTAACATTTGTACAGGAAAAACTGAGTTAAGCGGCACAGTTAATTGAAAGAAACTTACTCAAAATGTGTGGAAAATGTCTTTGTTCCTAGAAAAAGCTGCTTATTCTCTCCCACCACAGACCAGTCTCTGATTGTTTCCACATAAAGGGGCAAAGCAGCTCTCAAATTCAAACCAGCTCATGAAAAATTATCAAAAAAGAATGAGGCCCTTTAATATTCCTCCGCTTTTACTGAGTGACACAGAGGGTTTTCATTACCTCGCTCACTGCTTGCAAATCTTAGACATCAACTTTGATTATGTTACATAGAACTTGGCAAGGCAACAATCAGAAGGTGCTGTGGGCGGGTGTGATAGTCTGTGTGCCAGTCAAAATTACTGGTCTGATTCAAATGGCAGAATGCACTTTGTTCTTCCTGCCATTGACAAAACAAGCGGGGATAACTTCTAACCAATCCCTCCAGTGAGCAGTAAAAAAAAAAAAAGGCTGAGCAAACCCCTGCTATTACTGACATGTGGCACTCAAAACGGGAGATCCTTGTTACAGCTCCTCAGCTGTGTGGAAGGAGGAACTTGTCACTGAGCGTAAACAGCTCTCTCGGCTTAGTTCTGCGAGCTAAAATCCCCCCATCCCACCCCATCTACCCCCCGACACCCCATCTCCTTGTGCTGTGTGGCGTCAACTGCAATGAGCTCCAGATGTGGCCTGGCATCCCTCCAGTCACGGCACTGGATGTGGTTTGAAGGTAGTTTGGAAACACCACCCACCAGCGGACCCAATGAAAGTTCCTCAGACTGCAGCGTGAGGTTTCCGTCGCGGGGTTGTATATGTGCGGACTGCAGGAGCGCAGAAGAAGTGCAGTACGACCTGAGCATATCTGTGGAGGGCTGAGGGGGGAAAAGGTATCTGCCTCTTGTATGTGCATGTGTTACTTATTGAACATGCTTTGAATAAGTAAGTATATGAGACAATAGTTGAAAGTATTTCCATCTGTTTCAGTAGTTATGGAAATATCAACATCCTTTATTCACCCCCAGGCTTCCATCCTTTGTTCCCTTTGCATATAAATACTGGTGTTAAAAAAAGCTCTCGGTAATGTGTTCTGCCTGTAAAGAAAGGGCGAGTTACCTCAGTGAGAGTGGCAAAACAAAAGCTAATACCCACTAATCCTTTAAAAAAAAATCCAAACCAGCAGTTCTCTAAACAAAGACATACTATAAACAATGTGTAATAGTAAAGCTATTATGTAATTGTGCTTAATCTTCCATTACAGGTCACAGCGATACACAAGGAGGTATCAATAACCGTGGAAATAACAAATTGGGTGCCAGAGTTTTCATGCTGGTGGACAGTTGTGTGGTTATAGGTCATTACTATCAACCACCAACATCTGCTCTCAGTGGAGAAAACCTTGAATGATTTACACCAGAAGCAGTACGTCCCAAATATTTTCTAAAATACTCAGAGACATGAAAATAGTACAGTAGTACAGCAAGAAGTTGCTATATATGTAGGCTGACCATGAGTGTTCCCAAAGACTATATCAAACTTTATAGCATGTCATGTTTAATGATACCAATGGGTCAACACTATCTGGAATTATCAGCATTTTGGAAACACTACTCTGTTGTTGTGTATACTTGGCAACATAATTAATACACAGCAAATAACCAAGCATGGTGGCACTAATATAACTCAGCTGAACAGTGGTGTGTCCTCCTATCAGCTGCAACCGTTACACTCTGATGCGTCTCTCTCTTTCTAACAGTTACCCCGTTTAGTTTTCCAACTGTGTGCTGGGAGGATCGAATGAGGTCACTGTGTGTGAGCTGCCAGCTACTTCACATGGTGTACTGGGAAAAACACCTCCAGCTTATACGGCAATAGCTCCCCCTGCTGCTAGATGTGTTCAAAAACCCAGAAAGGATCACATGGTGGATTTGCTAGACAAAGTTTAACAAACCCAACATGGGCGAAGATGTTGGCCTCCAGTTTTAATACAAACTGCTTTGTCAAACATGACACATGTTCAATATAAACAGTGACAAGTGCTGCAGTGATAGCAAATGCTGGTGTTTGCAGATCACTGCACAAATTCATTTCAAGTTCTACATACAGTGGGTTTAAGTGCAGTCATTTCAAAGAGAAACTATGTCTGTTGGTAGCTAGCATGTAAGCCTGCTCTGCTCTTGTACTTCATGTCAGGCTAATTCAACAATGAAACCTTCAATGCCAAGGTTTCAGCCACATCAGATGGTGAGGTAGGGTTTTCACGTAATTCTTCCCACTGAACAATAACATCTGTTTCCCTTATCACTACTCAGCCGTAAAACCCAAACTAAATACCTCAGCTGTAACTAGCTGTAACACAACACAAAGACAAATGTCTGTTTTGTTTTTTCTCTAAATGGTCAATGAGAAGAAGAAACAGGTCATTGCTGCCATCATTGACTAATTAAAGCTGGGGTAGACAATCTAATTTTGGCATCATTTGGCAAAAATATCATAATGAACTGAGCATATTTTAATTCAAGTGGTCTGAGAGAAAACTACACTTCTGCACCTCCCCTTGGCTCTGTTTTCCAGCTTTTGAAAATTTTGCTCATGATGGGAGACTTTGGCGAATCGTGGTGTTCCTATTGGCTGTTCTACAAATGCAGATGCGTGTGAACGTCCCTTCAGCTGATGAAAGTTTGATTCAGTGGCGGAGAATCTTGCAGATAAAGTTGCCAATCCTGCATATCCAACAACCTACACTGGAAAAGCAACTCAAAAAAGGGACTCATGTCATTTGTCTGTTCTTAGCAACTCCAGATTTCCCAGATGCAGTGTGTCTGTTTTCACCGGGGTGGTTTTAGGAGCTCCTGCAGATCTCCCTGTGGTGCCAGCTGGAAGGGTAGCTGGAGCCTCTTATTCACCTGGCTGCACAGTGCAGGACAGTGCTCCAGAAGCAGCCGACACACCTCTTCATGACCCCGTTCTGAAGCCTGCTCAAACATTTAACAGAGCAATAAATACAGGCACCGGATAAATTATTACCAAACTGTCTCTGTGGAATGCTTTTATTATGTTGTTACTGGCAGTGCTGCACCTTATGTAAAGGGGATGCGCCATCGTCATCACAGAGCGTTGGATCTGCTCTGTGGTGCAGCAGGAGTCGGGCCACATCCAGATGACCGCAGTAGGCTGATCGATGGAGTGGTGTAGCACCGCCTGGTGTCTGGGGAGATGCACAGGCACCGTTCTCAAGAAGAAACTTGCATACAGTGTGATGACCACTGCGGCTCGCATAGTGCTGAGACAAAACATACAATGACGCAGGAATTTAGATACATGAGAACAGTGGATGATAGTGCACTTACAGCCAAATATCTTTAACATCTATAAACTCACCAGAGCTGTGTATCCAGCTGAGTCTCTCAGGTTGGGGTCTGTGTCCTTCTGGACAAAAGACTTGACCCTTTCCAAGTCCCCATCCATTGCAGCAGACCAGATACCTGCATAGAAGAATGACACACAATACAGCACTGTACTTCACTGTCAGATCAGCCAAGGTAAAAACAGCCTATATGATATATTTTGTACACTGTGTAAACTCTATTAGAGCCATGGTTAAACTCAGCCACCACAGGCCTGACACATGTATGCAAACCTCGTTCAAAATCCATTTCACTCAGCGTCTGGTAAACACTGGGAGAGGAGATTGGATGGGAGCAACACGAACAGTGATGTCTGTCAGACGCCATCGTGTTAACTGGCACAAACGGGATAAAAAATAATTCCAACTTGGTTCAAACCTGAAGCTGAACAGTAGTTTTTGAGTTACAGGCATGTATTGTCATTATGCTGTTTGACAGTTCCGCGTTTCTTCTTCTATCTTTGGTGGTCGACAACTTTGTGGTGCTTTACCACCACCAACAGGACTGGCTTCAAAACACACGAGCCCAGAAATACAGTCAATGAATGTTTAACCGAATGACGAAAAAAATGTATATGTTATAGGCATGTTAGGATTCAGATACGGATTGAAACAACGCGAAAAGATGTAATTATTATACTACAAAAGGAAGAACTTCAGAGTAGTTTGTACCAGACCACCCCGATGTTTAAAACAAACGTGCTTACGTGTAAACGTTCCGACCAATCGCAGAGCTGCAGTCAGAAGGACCCCTTCATGTGCTCTCTGATTCGGTCGGTTTTTAGTCTTGAAAGAACAACCAGCGCAGCTGCAACTCTTTGGGGGGAATTCTCAAACGTAAATCATTTTATGATGAACATCACAATTGGCGAATAATTTAGCAAACACACATAACTACTCAAAATATTTAAAAATTGATAATTTCTCCAAAGGTCAGAGAAGTACAGTTTAAAATTATTATAAAATACCATCATTAAATGTGTTTATATTGTTGAGAGAATGCAAGATTGTATTTTCCTATGAAAAACTGTACTGTTGAGAAGTTCAAAATAAAGATTCAACAAAAACCTACTCATTACTTTTGTTATTTATTGTTTTTATTTTTATTTTTGCCTTTAATGTCCTACACTGGCATTAGTAAAATTATGTATGTAATAGGCTGATAGTAAATATAGTAACTGACACTGTAATTGTAAATGTGGCCAAGAGGGTGAGATAATTAAACTTCTTTTCTTTAAAGTTTTATACTAGACCTGAGATTTGGAGTATTGTCTGTATGTGGAACGTCACACTCTCTGTTTTCCCGATAGCTCCTGAAGGTATCTTTTTGTCTCGTGTTGTTGTCTGATGCAGCTAGCTAGCTTGAACCACAGAGTGTTAGCTGGCACACGCCACATTATTGTTGTATTTGTAACGAAGCACTTATAACCAAAGCGCCTAAAGAATGAGAAGAGTCACCTTATTTGTTAACGGGACATCTAAAAATGGCAAGGTTGGTACTAACCCTGTGGGAGTGTTTAGTTCAGGACCTGGGCCGCAGAATGACTGGCTTTTTCCACTGAACATATTTGTTGTTTTATTAAAGCTATTGTAACCGACGCTAATGTTACACTGTATCCACTAACTGCGTATTATCAATTATATTCATATAAAGTCAAAGTAAATGTTAGTCTTTGTGACATTTTTACCACATTTAAGATAAATGTTACTGTTAGCTTAACCTAACTGTGACTCATTAATCTTGTATTAGGCAGCAGTGACCCATTTCTCTCCAGACTTTAATCCCTACACTGTTTTTTTTTTGTTTTTTTTACATATTTCTCTTTAGGTTGTAGCAGTTTACGGGACCTTGTCCGACTTACTATCCGTAGCAAGCAATAAGTTAGGAATCAAAGCTGCCTCTTTGTACAATGGAAAGGGTGGTCTCATAGATGACATTGCCCTTATAAGGTAAGCTCACACCATAACAATAAATATGTAGCTGAGCGTTTTAGCATGCCAGCTTAATCTGTGACTTGTATGTGTTTGTCAACAGAGATGACGACGTGTTGTACGTATCAGAAGGCGATCCGTTTATTGGTGAGTGCTTTGATGTCTGCTGCAGGGGTGTCATCCGCTGTCACTGAAAGTGTGAACATGCTCTCAGAGACTTCCTGTTTTTACTTCACAGATCCCCAACATGAAGCCAAGGTTGCATCTGATAAGCTTGGAGCACACACTGATTGGCTGACCCTTAATATCGGTGGTCGCCCCTTTACCACCACCAGGTATCTGAGATCTTAAAGGGTAACTTAGGCATTTCTCAACCAGAACTATTTTCCGTGTTTTCATGTCTTAGTTACTGATCTGAACAACAGTTATTTAAATTGGCCCAGTATTGAGAGAGTGAGGGCTGCAACTGCATAACGCCTGCAAAGTAACCAGATGGGGCAATTGTACAGTGTCACTGTGCTTCCATTAAAAGTAGTTATTTTTGACTTAGACCAGCTCAGATCGTTATTATAAATGTCTGAAGTGTTTCTTTACCTTTTGCTTGATCCCGTCTGTTTGTTATTGTAACTTGTTGAAGGAGATGTCTCATTTTGAAATCTCACAAGACAAGAATTGTTGCATGACGACAACACTGAAAACTGGACATTGGAAGTCTTTTGAATAAAACTAGCTACGTTTTCTGTTCTCCACACAACACATTGTTCCCTCTTGCTTGCATTTTCAGCATTGTGCTCCTGAAACAAGTCATGATAGTCACAAGAGAGTCACAGAGATAACGAGTTTTAATGGATATACAGCGACAACTGTGCAGCTCCCGGCTGTAGCCAGAAACTGGACCAGTTTCAAAAATGGTTGGTCACATAAGTTACTTAGAAATGAAAACATGGGAACAAGGTTCAGGTTGAAAAATGCCAGAGTTACCCACGTTTTCATCAATAATAAACACATTACAAATCAGTTAAGATGCTACATCACAGTGTATGTTTGTTTTACTCTGTTACAGTTAGACTTGCACCGATTACAATTTTTCGGGCTGATACCAATTTCCAATTTGCAGAGTTTTTGGATGGCCGATTCCGATTTAATTTTTTTCCAACCAGTTTACAGCACACAAGATATTGCAATATTTTCTATCTTTTTTTATATCAGAAAATTTTAACCAAGATACAACCAGCTTTTCAATAATCATCTCAAATAACCAAACAAAAACAGTGACACAGGTTAAGAAACATTTTCCTTTTTGCTCAAATATAACTTCAGGTACAGTATTAAAATAAATAAGTAAAAAAGGCATACATAAATAAAAACATAGATAAATGAAATAATTCTTGGTGTATAGCATTTGTGGGTTATTTCTTGAACAGACAAAAAAGTAAAAATATCTTCTGTGGAAAATTCACACAGGTCTTCACCAGTGGTGTAGTGGTAATTGATGAGGTGGGTGTAGGCTACTACTAGGTAGATAGGTAGGTTACTGATGAGGAAGTGGGCATACTCTCCTATATATTACTATGGCTTTTTAGGTGATAGGTGAGTATACTGTAACTGGATAGAAAAAGAAGTGGATATACCCTGTATACCTGAGTATACCCTCCACTACACCACTGTTCTTCAGGATGTGCTTGCCAGTAAGCACGCGGACACGCGCCTCGTCAGTCGGCCGATCACGTGAAAACCGGCCTGATTCCGAGTACTGCTGATAAATCGGTGCAAGTCTAGTTACAGTTTCATTGTCATTCATTGTCTTGTTTACTGAATGTGTTTTGTGTTCAGGAGCACCTTGGTCAGCAAGGAGCCAGAGAGTATGCTTGCTCACATGTTTCGAGGGAATGGTAAGTTGTCGCTACTCGCTACAGATTGTCAGTAAGAATTTTGTTTTTGTTACTTATTTATTTTGTAACTTATTTAATGTGTTTTGTCAACCTCTGTGTTTGCTCCAGATGTGTGGGGGAACAAGCGGGACGAGCATGGGGCTTACCTAATTGACCGTAGCCCTGAATACTTTGAGCCTATTCTAAACTACCTGAGACATGGTCAACTCATAATCAATGAAGGCATAAATATACGAGGTAAACTTTCTGACAACCCCCTAAATGATGGAGTCTACCTGGATCACCCTGAAGAGGGTCGTTAAATCAAATTTTCTGATATAATTTGCGCTAAATGTCTTCCAGGTGTCCTCGAGGAGGCCCGGTTCTTTGGAATTGAGCAGCTTGCTGAACAGCTGGAAGCAGCAATCAAGGTAATATGAAGTGTGGCAGGTAAATAATTTTAATTTACAATAGCGATTACTCCCTTGAATGCAGCGTGACTCACCACATGCTTACTTTCAAAACAGAACTCACAGCCACCTGAGGACCACTCTCCCATCTCTCGCAAGGAGTTTGTTCGTTTTCTTTTGGCGACACCCACCAAGTCAGAGCTCCGTTGTCAGGTATAGCTAAATAAAAACGTTGTCATCCACCTCATAATTTCACCATATTAAGTTAATATGTGACACCATTACTCTCACTGTCTCTAGGGTCTTAATTTCAGTGGTGCGGATCTGTCTCGACTTGATTTGCGCTACATCAATTTTAAGATGGCTAATCTAAGCCGCTGCAATCTGACACATGCCAACCTGTGCTGTTCCAATCTGGAGCGGGCTGATCTTTCTGGAGCCAACCTGGATGTAAGTTCTTAAAAACTCTTTTCTTGTGGGCACTAAATGATCCATGCGTACAGACAGTATCAGCTGACTCACAGTAAGTGCAGAATGTTCTAAATAAATCTCACTGTGGGGAAGCAAAGATTTCCTACTTCTGTCTAAGCTGTGTGTCATTGCTGTGTTTTCTGAATTGTCGTCCCTCCTGCCAGTCCAACAGTGGACTTGGCTTTAAGTTTTTGTCCACTTCACACTTGCTGCCCCCTCAGCTGTGTGGAGGAAGGCCCCTTCTGTTCTTAAACATGTTTGCCAGTGTCACACACTTTCTCCCACATTCACCTCATTAAGAGAACAATTAGCAGACTGTTTTTCCGCAGCCTGGTCACTTCTTACATACATTTATTGTACAGTGTAACTCAGTATGAACTTACAAGATCATTGTGAATGCTTTTGATCTTTGTGTTGTCTTTTGAAGGGTGCTAACTTACAAGGGGTGAAGATGCTTTGTTCCAATGCTGAGGGAGCTTCTCTCAAAGGATGCGATTTTGAAGATCCATCTGGACTGAAGGCCAACCTGGAAGGTAATCCATCACAACTTTTAGTCAAAGCAGAGACAGTTTCACATTCAGAGTCACGTTTTAATCTAGACTGTATAAAATAATGGACGCAGCCACCGTGCGTCACCTATTGTTGTGTGGACTTCAGTTTGGACTCTGGAGTTTGGCATTTTGGATGGCACATCTTGAATTTTTTGAACCAGAAGTGACCGTATTTGAACGAGAGGGCTGAGATAACGTCAATGCTAGCTGCTAGCTTGGTTAGCACAGTGCATTTATATCTGTGGTTAACTGTGATAATGCTAATACTTATCCCACTAGCAAAATGAAACAGACTTACAACCATTTAAAAAAAATGAACTAACTGGAAAAACGTCTTAGAGGGTCTTTTTGTACAACCAGACACTGAACAGGAGTTTTTAGACGACCAAAAAGTTACAAGAGCTTCTTTGTTCATGACATACATTGGTGTGCTGA